AGAGCAATAGTTCGATAGTTTGTACATAATTTCAGGTCACCCTTTTTTGGTATTGGAATGAAGATAGTTCTCTTCCAGTCTTTTGGCCAAATACCATATCTCCATATCTTTTCACATAATGCATGATAGATTTTTATGCTTTCTTCTCCTCCCGCTTTAATCAATTCAGCTGGTATCTCATCACATCCAGGTGATTTACCATTTTTCAGGCTCCTTATTGCCCATGAAATTTCATCTAATGAAGGTTCAGGTTCTGCCTCTACTGTTACTGGTTTATGTATATCATTCATATCCTCACTGTCATTCATATCATACATTCCGCTGCAGTATTCCTGCCATCTTCCTAGAATTTGTCTAGATTCTGTTAAAGTATTTCCCAACCTGTCACAAATAACATTTAACTGAGGTTGAAAATGTCTTGTCAATAACTTCATTTCCATGAACATTTCGTGATCTCTTCCATTTTTATGATGCTGCTCTATTTTAATACAGCAATCTTGTACATACTGATTTTTATCCTTTCTTGTGTACTTTCTTATTTCTCGTGTTAAAAATTTATACTTCATCCTACTGTCATTGGTTTCTCCTTTCTTTTTCAGTTCCCTTCGTTGTTTTATTAGTTCTAACGTGTATGGTGTGAACCATGGTTTATGTTGCTTAGTCCTGGTGGGTATTAAGTCTTTAGCTGCTGTTATCAAGATATCCCTAGCTTGTACCGCCAGTTCATCAGGTGTCATTTCCTCTTGTACAGACATCAAGACCTCAAAACGGTTCTTCACTTCTACGTTGTATGCATCTGGTATTTTTGTGAGATCAAATCGAAATGGCCTTGGTCCTCGGGTAAGCTTTTTGAGTTTTAATTTCAGATCTGCTTCTAGTAACTGATGATCTGTATCGCAATCTGCACTTCGCAGGGTTTTTGCAGATGTTATGCTCGATCTCCATCTTCTTTGTATTAAAATGTAATCTATCTGATTTTTGGTAACACCGTCAGGGGATGTCCATGTGAAAAGCCTTCTAGGGGTGTTGTTTATAAAGTGTGTTAGCTATTGTTAATTCATTTTCTATGCAAAATTCAATCAATTTTTCTCCTGTTTCATTTCTATTACCCAATCCAAATTTTCCTAAAACGTGTCTCTCATTTTCAGCTCTGCCTGTACCTACTTTAGCATTAAAATCTCCCATTATTATTATTATATCATTCTGATTAATTTTATTTAATGTGTCTTGCAGTATGGCATAAAAATCTTCAATTTCGCCCTCCTCTGCTGTTGAAGTTGGTGCATATACCTGAATGAAAGTTATGTTTTTTGGACGGCCTTTAAGTCTGATAGTTAGGATTCTATAACTAACTGGATTATATCCCATAATAGCTTTTGCTGTTGTTTTATCTAAACAAAATGCCACTCCGCTCTGGCCTCTTACATCTCTACCAGAATATAAACGAAAAAGCTTCCATATTCATTGATAAAATGTCCCTTGCCACTCCAACGATGTTCACAAATTCCTAAGATCTGAATATTTAATCTTTCAATCTCATCACATACTACTTTAAGCTTTCCTTCATACAGACTTCTCACATTCCACGTTCCTATTCGCATTCTGTTTCTTAGTCTGACACAGTGGATTTCCTTGGTAACACAGTCAGGATTAACTCCGTCATCACGATTACTAGTACTGACCCCTGTATCACACTCTTCCCCAGTGTTATCTGATCTGCCTGGCCTGGGTACTCGCCACCAGATCTCTTCTGTGTTATGTTTTCTTTCATGATTGTTATGGATTCTTGGCAGAATTTGCAGAAGGTAGTTTGCCGTTGCTTTCCTCCTGAGCAGTGACTATACTAGTCGGTGGCCATAGCCATTGTCTCTACTGATGAGATCATCTGCCTATCGCCGCAGAGTGCAGACCATAACCAACAATACCTGTCGGCTGCTCTTACACTCCATCCACCACCTGCTTCCATGGCTTCACGTAACCCTGATTGGGGGGCTAAACGGGTACTCCACCTTGCCCAAGGGTGTCCCGTAGACTAGCGGAGGAAAGGAGGCGTCTTACTTCTCCTTTGATAGGGGATACCCCTACCCCGCTAACCTACTTATAAATAAACTAAATTTAATTGTCCGGCTTCGCCCATGATAGTGAAAAAAGTCTTATTCTCCAGTCCTTTACCACGCCTTGGTCTCCACCACGACCCTTTATGTAGGCCTAGTGATAATAGGGCTCTAACTAGAACCCTGTACGTCTCCACTGCTACTACATCTCCAGTCATTGCCCATAAGTGCACCCGAGGCATCCCCTGTCAAACTAACAATAGTATTTAACAGAATGAGAGACAGACAAATATATTGTCTCTGACACATATAGATATGTGATTTCAAGGAAGATAACAGCCAAATATATTTTTTGTAAAGTTACAATTTCAGGGAAGGAATAATAAAACAAATATTCAAGAGATATAACTTAGGCGAAAGTATAATTTGATTGATTATTGCGACAAGTACAGAAATGCACAACAACGTGGACAGTCAATGTGACTGTTAAATTAAACGTTGTACTCATAATGGCAAATGAACCTTTAGCCCGTGTATTGTCGCAGTTTATCAGGGGTTAACACTTCTTTATAATAATCACAAGAAATACGGAAAGGATTTGTTATATATAATATAGGTAAGTACTAGGTTGATTGCAGTATTCGTCATCCCCTTATAAGGTGCAATTTTTCATTATATAGAAGCCCCACCCTGGCTCTTGCCAGGGGCCGCAATATAGCCCGGCCATAAATATGACCTACTGGCTGAACTCTGTTTCCGGGACCTCTCCACGGGTTATACTCATCCACATGGTGGCACTTTCTGTCATCAGGTGTGAATCGCATGTGTGATGTCCTAGTGGGGTAAAATGTACTACTATTACCTCATGGTCAATATGTTATTTCCTCTAAAGGTCATACACATGTGGAATGCATATTGTTTTTCCCCGGGTCAATCATCTTTCATGGGGAACCACCCGAAAAGGAAGCAATTTTTTTGTTTGAAGCCCCATCCTGACTTTTTCCTGGGGCCCTGAACATAGCCGGGGCATAGATGTAGTCTAACAGCAGAAAGGGGTTTCCGAGACCTCTCCACGGGTGATCCTCATCCGCGTGGTGACACTTTGTGTCACCGGGTGTTTATCACTTGTGTGATGTTCTAGTGGGGTACAACTACCTACCTACCTACTTTAATATGCTACTATATAAGTCGTCCGTGTGTTTATCCATTTGTGTAATGTCCTGGTTGGGTACAATTTACTTACTTACAATCGATTTCTGTTTTCTTATTGCCAACCTCTTGTGGGATGCAATTTTAAGTTATTTTGAAGACTCACTCTGGCTTTTTGCAAGTGGCCATAATTATAGACAGGCCTCAAATAAGGCTTAACTTCTGAACGGTGTTTCCGGGACCTCTCTTCATCCGCAAAGTGGCCCTTTGTGTCACCGGGTGTTTATCGCTTGTGTGATGACTTGGTGGGGTACAACTTACTTACCTACACATCGGTTGATCGTAAATTAAATTGCTATCCATGTGGAATGAAATGTTTAGTTATTTTGCCATGGGGCCTAATATAGCCGGGCTTAAAATTTGGCCTAAAGGCTGAACGGAGTTTCCGAGACCTCTCCAAGGGTGATCCTCATCTGGATGGTGGCATTTTGTGTCACCGGGTGTTTATCGCTCTGTGTGATATCCTGGTAGGGTAACATTTACTCACTTACTAACATGGTCTAGACGAGATACTCCTGACTAATTAAGAAGAGGCTGGGACCAAACCATCAGGAATGAAAGAGCAGGATGAACACACTTGAATACAACAAAAGGAACGAGTGGCCTGACTGGCTGACAGGACGGATTAAGCCCAGGGACGGTGCAAATACCAGAACCTCAGCCATGAAAGTGGCGAAAATAAACCAGACCACAAATATAGCCGGAGACTGTACGCAGCTTCGTCTAGCTAGCGGCAGATTGAACATTGTTGAACTTTAAATTGTTAGTTGTTGCTTAGAAGGTATTGGAATCGGAACATGGTCAACATCTGATTGCCCACAAAAGCCAGTCAGAATACACGTGGAACGCAATTTTGTGTTATTTGAAGCCACATCCTAGCTGTTAATATAACCCAACCAATGGGACCTGTCCCCGGGTGATCCTCATCCTATTGGTGACGCTTTTGCGCCACCGAGTGTTGTTTGCTCGGTGTGATGTCCTGGAGGGATTGAACGTCAGTCAGTCAGTCAACGTCTCATCGGTTGTCCATATTTTCGATGTCACCTCCAGGTACCTACTTTAGTCTGGGTTTACCTAGGAGCCCCTAATAGGAATCTCCCTGGCGAAGTGTTCTGAAAGTCGTGGGTCCCTTTCATGGTGACGTCGTTCAGTTCAGCAGTGCAATTTTAACGGAGATCCCAGGAGCTCGTCACCGGAGTTACGGAGGTCGTGCTGTGTGCGATGATCTCGACAGGTAGTTAGCTGTTATAGGGAGAGAGACTGGTCTATATGGGATAAAACCCTGTGCAATGAAGTCGATCCTCTCACTTTCACCTAGAAGCACAAGGTTAATTATAAAAATCTTCACTGACACTAAGACCTTTAAACCGGCAAGCAAGTATCTAGCCTAAGGCCGGCCCCCGAATATATATTTAAAAGTAAAGGACCTCTTCTCTCCGCCTTTAGGCTATTAGGCATTTAAAACTATACCGATTTTTTTTAGACCAATCCGCATTTATTGGGTGATGTGGTTAGTATCAAGCCACCCGCTTTTGCTCTGCAGGACTCAGCCTAGTACCTATTCAAGGTTGGGTCGACCCGGTAGCCAACGTCATTTTTAGAGAGAAAAAAATACGGTACCACCAGGACGTGAACTTTCAACCCGCCGATCCGTAGGCGAGCAACTAACCGCTTCACCACCTCGGCTCACCGTATATATTTTTTCTCAGATAATTCCCCACGTATATATTTTAAAAAAGATAATTCCCCCACGTATATATTTTTAAAAAGATAATCCTTCCTTGCACAGTGTGTTGGGATTTCTGATGACAGTGATAAACATAACCTAATCCTAGCGATTATTATACACTGAACTGAACCATGGCTTGGTTGTATCAGAGTGTGACCGTGTAGATGAGAAACTTCAATACTAATTTAGAACACTGCTGGTTTCTGCGCTAAGCGACCGACAGAAACTCTAATCAGTCAAGTGAAGTAAGTAGAGGAACATTGTCACGTTCTAGTGACTCCGGGCAGGTAGTGCCAGCCCTACATCTCTGCAGATAAATCGGCACTCGAGAAGTCAACATCAGGCAAGCCGACTACATCCCAGGATATTACCTGGTACTCATTGTAGACCTGGCGAACCTAGAACTAGAAGCCATTGCTTTTTTTTTTTAAATTCGTCATTATTCGGATTTCAGCTATTGACCTTGGGGTCGGCCGACGAGCATTTCCGGGTCAACATCCGATATGCTACACAACTTGTGTTCCGTTTCTGTGGTAGCAACTTAGTTCTGGTAGCATATGTTGTTTCTGTATTAACAAATTATTTCTGCTTGTCTGTGTTTTGACATGTATTGGACATGTGACGAATTGATCAACTTAACATGGAGACCAGTGTATCTCGATGTTAGTGGTTTACTGACATCCCCAACCCCCCAAAAGGGATTAGGGGTGGGGGGGGGGGGGGCTGGGAGGTGAGGGCTGGATCAGAAAGAATTCGAAGAAACAAATTATAAGTGCCCGGTATAAAATCACCACATGGCTCAGTAGAGAGGAAGAGGAGAAGAGGCAGACCAAGAAAGACCTCGATATAGAACTTGACCTGACTGGACAGGTCAATGGCATCTGACCGTCAAAGGTGGAGGGAGCTGATCAGCTCGTCAGCAGTACCTGGCGACCCAACGACACCCAGTGTTACGGGTTGATGACGACGATGATGGCCTAGGCTTTACTATGACTACTAAAAAGTAGGGCATCTTTGGCAGAACTCGGAAATTGATAGTGGTTTGAGAGTCGTGGCTAACTGAGAACTACTCGTCTAGATAGACATGATTAAAAAACGCCAAGTGGCGTGGGATATAAGCAAAAGAACTTTTCGCCACTAGAAACAGCGGTGCAAACCAAATTTAAGTGTCGCCGATTGAATTACAACAGACAGTGAAGTTCATACTAGAGACAAATTTCAGATTTAGATCATCTACTTTAAGCGAACGAAAGAAGAAGAAGATATGCAGAAAACTTTCAGTGTTCAACAAATTATCACGTATATTATGAATTATTCAAGTAACAGAAAGTGTATTGATTCGGCACTCATAGAAAGAAGTAGATAGATAGAAAAACACACTAGACAACATATTCAAGTAACAGTAAGTGTATTCTCACTCCAAAGAAATAGTGAAAATCATAACTTATTTCTTAACATAGCAAAAACAAAGATAATGCATACAAACAAAACTGCCATGGAGAAGGAAATATATGTTAATGAGGAAAGATTGGAAGTGGTGGCAAAATTTCGAATATCTTGGGTCACTGGTTACCAACAATGGTGACACAATGAAAGAAATTAAACGGCGACTATCAATTTCTCTTCAAAGACTAAAACAACTGAATAAATTATGGAATTGTACAGATAGAATTACAAAGGTCAGATTTTTAAGAGCATGCATCTTTCCCATTGCAACATACGCCTGCGAGACCTGGACACTTACTAAACAAGCGGAACAGCGCATAAATGCATTTGAATATAAATGTTACAGACAGGTTCTAAGAATATCTTGGGTAAAGAAAAGAACAAATGCATCCATACTTCAAGAGCTGAATATTGAAGAGGGTTGGCTAGTAAAAACAATAAAACAAAGAAAATTGAAATATTTTGGTCACTTGAAACGTCATGGAAGTCTAGAGAGAACAATAATGGAGGGGTATTTGCCTGGGAAGAGAGGAAGAGGAAGGCCAAGGAGAAGATGGGTGCAGGATGTGGCAGATGATCTCCAGATGGGTGTATCAGACGCAGGACATCTTGCTCAGGAAAGGAAGGTTTTCCGGAGGGTTGTTATGGCAGCGAGGTTCCGCGAGGGACATGCTACTGAATGAATGAATGAATGTAAGTGTATTGATCGGCACTCATGAAAAAAGTAGATAGACGAACATACTAGACAACATATTCAAGTAGCAGTAAGTGTATTGATCGGCACTAATAAAAAAAAGTAGATAGATAGAAGAACACACTAGACAACATATTAGACAACATATTCAAGTATCAGAAAGTGTATTGATCGGCACATAGAAAGAAGTAGATAGATAGATGAACACACTAGACAACATTCAAGTAACAGAAAGTGTATTGATTGGCACTCATTGAAAGAAGTAGATAGATAGAAGAACTCACTAGACAACATTTTCAAGTAACAGAAAGTGTATTGATTGGCACTCATAGAAAGAATTCGATAGATAGAAGAACTCACTAGACAACATTTTCAAGTAACAGAAAGTGTATTGATTGGCACTCATAGAAAGAAGTAGATAGATAGAAGAACTCACTAGACAACATTTTCAAGTAACAAAAAGTATATTGATCGGCACTCATAGAAAGAAGTAGACAGATAGAAGAACACCCTAGACAACATTTTCAAGTAACAGAAAGTGTATTGATCGGCACTCATAGAAAGAAGTAGACAGATAGAAGAACACACTAGACAACAATACTTTCAAACAGCGTACCTCAGCCCGAAAACTTGCAATTGTTTTGTCCACCGCGTCGACATCAGCCACGAGTTGGGGAAATAGTTTGTCCGTAAGCTCTTTTCTGAAGGCTGTGGCATTGTTGACTTTTCTCTCGATGATATCCAGGCTATCGTCTAATATTCTGTTATTTCTGTTGATTCCTAAAGAATTTACAGTGAACATTACTAGATTTAATTCAGCTGTGACCACTATAAAAAAAAAAGCATACATAAAAGCGGTTAAGGGGAGCAAATCAAGAAGACTGGAGAGATGGTATATCGATAGACCTACAAACTTATTAACAATGAGAAGTAAATTGTTGTTCTCGGTGGCACACAAAAAAAAAAAAAAAAGGTAGAAGATGTTTCTACTAAACTGATTTATTAACTGAAGAAACAACACCATATCACACCGGGCATCCTCAGGGATACTTCGTCTCCTGCAGGAAATGGCTTAAGGTTTCGTTAGGTATAAACTGTTCCTGTAGCACACTGTTTGTACACAAGTCTGCCCATTCATTTCTCCCCGTACCGACTCTCCCTAATTTCAAGTGTATACATTCTTACACATGCTATTACATCAAATCTAGAGACTTTTTTTTATCATCATCCCATCTTGATCCTCTGGTACCTTGCGGTGTCAAGGTAAAGTATAATTTACGGGAAAGATCCAGTTTGTGTGCTTCGTATTTGGCGATTCCCATGGCCTTTGCTATTTCCTTCGACCATTGTTTGCATAGGCGGTCTCTTCTTCGCTACAGGTCTGGCCTATACATAAGTGCTTGCTGATGTGTACTATCTGTTGACATCCTTGTTTTATAGCCAAACCATTTCACCTGCTATCTTCTAATGAAATACAGGATACCCTCATTCTCCTTCGGATTTCATCATTCATAATCTTGTTTCTTATTGTTATAACGAAAGCCCTTGTTTGAATCTAATTTCAGATACAATTTGTCTTTTTACCTTTTCTGCCATTGTCCAGGTCTGGCATTGGTAACACAGGGTTGGCAAGAAGATTGTGTCTTTTATCAGCATTCGTACATCAATGGTTTCTGCGAGTAGTTGCTACTAAAAACACTGTTTTAAGGCGCTATTTTGTAAAGTGTCAGTATTTCCAACTTTGGTAACAGTTTTAGCGGCGAATCTTTGTACCATTATAAACCATCACTGGAGAATAAGATGCAGGAACAAAAACCTTAATATGTTTAAAAACACACTAATTGTGGGTATTGTGATGACTAATAGACTGTTATATTCGAGAAACACAGGACAGCGGATAACAGAGAGACAACAACTGAGTACTAAAAAGAGCTGAGAGAAAACAGACGACGAGACTGACTAAGATCTCTGAGAAAGAAAATGTACAGACTTACAAACACTTAGAGTCAGCAACTGGAAAGAAAAACCTTACAGAGATACATTTGGGCTGATGATATCTGCAGCAATGCATCACAGTGGTTAAGAATACTGAAGGAGATGAAGGTGATGATGGTGATGATGACAGTGATGAAGAAGAAGAAGAAGCAGTGCTACTGCCGTTACTGCAGCTAATGAGGGTCAATCAACAACAAAAAAGGTTATATGTTTTAGGAAAGCTGATCAGACTTTATCAGAACTTTTTTTGGCCAAGACTATGCTATCAGTGCCAAACGTGGATCTTACACCCTCCAATAAAAGTACAATTGTTACAACAGAGATGAAATGCCTTCGAAGAGTCGCAGGAGTTACATGGAAAGACAGAAAACGAAATCACGAAATCAGACAAATGCTAAGAATAAAGCCAGTCTTGTTGGTCATCAAAGAACAACAAATAAAGTGATTTGGACACCTTACAAGAATGCCATGATACTTTCTGACACAGCGAGCAATACTAAAACGTTACAACTGGTATAGATCGAATGGAAGACCTCGGAAAATATGAAGTGATGGTTTTAAGAACAGCCTTACAGAAATGAACATCAATCCTAATCGTGCTCTTGACAAAGCTCATCAACCAATTTTACATCTACCCCCGACACTTCGATGAGGTACAAGGTGGAAGAGAAGAGGAAGAAGAAGAAGAAGAAGAAGAAGAAGAAGAAGAAGAAGAAGAAGAAGAAGAAGAAGAAGAAGAAGAAGAAGAAGAAGAAGAAGAAGAAGAAGAAGAAGAAGAAGAAGAAGAAGAAGAAGGAGAAGAAGAAGAAGAAGAAGAAGAAGAAGAAGAAGAAGAAGAAGAAGAAAACGAAGAAGAAGAAGAAGAAGGAAGAAGAAGAAGAAGAAGAAGAAGAAGAAGAAGAAGAAGAAGAAGAAGAAGAAGAAGAAGAAGAAGAAGAAGAAGAAGAAGAAGAAGAAGAAGAAGAAGAAGAAGAAGAAGAAGAAGCAGCAGCAGCAGCAGCAGCAGCAGCAGAAGAAGAAGAAGAAGAAGAAGAAGAAGAAGAAGAAGAAGAAGAAGAAGAAGAAGCAGCAGCAGAAGAAGAGAAAAAGAAGAAGAAGAAGAAGAAAAGAAGAAGAAGAAAGAAGAAGAAGAAGAAGAAGAAGAAGAAGAAGAAGAAGAAGAAGAAGAAGAAGAAGAAGAAGAAGAAGAAGAAGAAGAAGAAGAAGAAGAAGAAGAAGAAGAAGAAGAAGAAGAAGAAGAAGAAGAAGAAGAAGAAGAAGAAGAAGAAGAAGAAGAAGAAGAAGAAGAAGAAGAAGAAGAAGAAGAAGAAGAAGAAGAAGAAGAAGAAGAAGAAGAAGAAGAAGAAGAAGAAGAAGAAGAAGAAGAAGAAGAAGATTAGGACTGAAGCTACTTATAAAATTCTTTAAAGAACTACGGATGAAACGTTTTGTTTATGTGAAGAGAATGCCGCGGTACCAAGTGTAACAGACAGCCAAGAAAGAAATGTAAATAATGCATTAAAAAGAACACACAGACGAGTCTTCATTACATCTTCTCTCAAAACTTCGCGTGATGAGAGAAAAGCAGGCGAACAAAGAAGGAACATCAAGTAATCTACCAGTCTGCATATTTATCCACATACCCGCATATCAATTCTCTTTATCAATCATCATCAGTTCTCTTTATACCCAGTGGCACATTAGGCTTTAGAGAGGACTTTTCATGCTCTCCTGTCCTGTGCAATCTGCAGTGCAGTTTTCCATGTCAGAGATGCTGCACTTAGGTCACTTTCCATCGTTCCTCTTCATGTTGTTTTTAGGCGCCCCTTTTTTTCTCTTTCCCTCTGGTATCCATGTGAGAGCTGTTTTGGCAGGTATATCAGGATTCATTCTCATAACATGGCGAAGCCATTTCCATCATCTCTTGGTTATTATACTGTCTAGAGTTTCTTGGTTTGTGGCGTGAAGTATCTTTGTGTTTGAGATTGTATCTGGCCAGAAAAATTTGATAAGTAGACTTGTGGTGGAAGGTGGATAGCTTGTGTGCATCCTTTCCCCCCCCCCCCAATCCCCCCTCCCCCACCCCGTTTTCTAGCATTCTGCTCCATAGAGAAGAACTGGCTAAATGATGCTCTTGTAGAGTCGAAGTTTTGTTCCTCTGCAGTAACTGTTGGATTTCCAGATTTGCCTCATCCTTCCAAAAGCAACTCTAGCTTTGTTCAGGCGTGACTGTATGTCTTCCTCTGTACCTCCCAGTAGAGACACCACACTACCAAGACATGAGAAATGTTCTACATGTTTAAATGTTTGGTTATTTATAGTTACTGGTTGTTGGTTTGGACTGAAAAACAAATGCCTCCGATCTGAGTCAAGCGATGCTATAATACCACTGGGGCATTCCCATAAACGCACAATTCTCATTGTCACAACTCAGCCCAGAATTCCAATACATACAGTGCCAGTTGTAGTCTCACTAAATGTTAGTCTTTGCCGGGATCGGTCCCGAACTCATGGAAGTAATTATCACGGCATGAGCCATTCAAACTCAGAGCCGGGTGGTTTCCCCGTGAGGAGAAACTGATCCGGCGAGAAAAAAAAAATGTTAGTCTTGCCTTTGTTCCCGGGCTTAATTGTCTTCATTTCTGGTCAGGATGTATAATAGATAGGGTTGTATTGCTGCGGTTACTGTCTCAACCTCTATTCTCATGCTGAGTATAGCATCTATGCGCCAGTCTTTGTTATGGGCACTTTTGCAGGAGACACAACTTTAAACAAAAACAAACATAGAAAAAAAAAAGAAAAGAAGAAATTATTGATCTTTGCCACAGATAAACCCTAAAGATACCCAGTAAAGACTTTTCGAGAGAAAAACGTATAGATGTCTTCTTAACAGAGACCTTTGCAAGAGATGACACCTAAAATATCTTATAGAGAGAGACCCAGAATTGACGCAATTGCACTTGGGACATTCCTGTAGGTTCTGCACCCACTTCCTCAGCAGCGAGTGAAGAGTTCACATGCTGACAATGATATTTGCAACCAGACACAAATGTGTCTCTGTCAGACAATAAATCCTAACGATAACAACATTTTTGCATGGGATAAAACGCACCGATGTCTAGTAAAGACATTTGCACGGGATAAAACGCTAAGATATCTGGTAGAAACTTTGACAAGGTAAAGAAAGGTAAAGTCGGGAGATGTGAAACAGCGTCATTACGCACATTTATAAACCATAAGTGCACTGCCACCAGTACGGACACCTGATAAGAAACTGTCCGCTCTAAACTCCGTAGCTGCAGCGAGGTTCCTCCATTTACCCCTGGTACACATTTTCTAGAGGCTGGGTGAACCCTGGGAACCGCACAGTTTCGAACACCGGCCATGGGCTGCAGCGAATCGCAGCTGGATATGAAAACCATCTCCTATCGACTGCGCTAAGGCGGCCCATCTTGAAAAGAGATGCAACCACAAGATGCCCAGTAGAAACAAACAATTAGAAAAGGTAAAACATAAAGGTACCTTGAAACCATTAGAAGAGATAAGAGATTAAAAATGAAGATAAATAGCGGAGACCACTGGAAGAGATAAAACATAAAAATACATAGCAGGGACCATTTAGAGGTAAAACGTGAAGATAAATAGTAGAGACTATTGGAAGAGATAAAACGTGAAGATAAATAGTAGAGACTATTGGAAGAGATAAAACGTGAAGATAAATAGCAGGGACCATTGGAAGAGATAAAACGTGAAGATAAATAGTAGAGATCATTGAAAGAGATAAAACGTGAAGATAAATAGTAGAG